TTTATACGCTCTTCCGACCATTTACTCTTAAGACCACGGCAAAGCTAGACGTCTCACATATGGTGACAATTCGTTTAAAGTACCTGTACCTAGGGAATGGAATTTACTCCCACTTTTACTACGTAGGATAGACTCTCCTGCTTCTTTTTAAAATGATCTCCAGGCTTATGTTTTTAAAAAAATTATGAATAGAATTTTAATGAATGACTTTTCTAAGTGAGTGATTTTAAACATAACAATTTTTGTTTCAATATTATTTGTTTTAATCAATTTTTCCTGCTATTATCTTTTTTCTTTTCTTTTACAAGTTTTTATTCTTTTTTATTTTTAACGTTTTATTAGACTAGCTGAATAAATAATTCAAAAGCACTAAATCAATTTAAATCCTGCACACAGACACACACACGCACACACACACACACACACACATTCACTTGTACAAGCACATTACAAAAAAATTACAAAAAAACCTTATAACATTACTATGCATAGCATAACACAAATAGATATTTTAACACTTTGCAAACCATGGATATATTACTAAAACAGATACTATAAAATCGCAATAAATAAGCACATTAGTAGCAGTATTATGATCATGCACTACATAGACACATATTCAGACCAATATGATGACATTGCAATACTGGCGCACATCACAAAGAGATGTCATGAGGTTCATTGCAGTACGTACCAGTAGGCACATTGTAAAAACATATATATTATACATCTTATTATTTACATATGTTGCATTATGTCACACCCTTGCAATACATGCCAGTAGGCATATTGTACAAACGTGTACTATATTTTTATTATTTATTCATGTTGCAATGTAAATTCTACTGCGGTTTTATATTAGGAACGTTAGTCGGTGAGTAATTTGCGAGTAATTTACGTGTAAGTTATCTCGGTATATATGTCATATAATACACTGCCGCACTCTTGCGATGCATGCCCTGAACACCCCTCACTGTCGCTCGAAGTGTTCTGGAATAGAGGCCTTTGTCACTCGGGTTGCATTGTATGGGTGCGTTCAGAACCAGTTGATCCAGAGACTAACTACTTGAAAGCGTGTTGAGTTTTAATTGCTCTGCCCCCGCTGGGGCGGCGAACGTGGGAGGCGGGAATGCATTAATTGCCAAGTGCGCGCCATATTTGATCCGTGAACTAGTTAGCTCGCGGATCAACTGGTTCTGAATACGCCCTATTATCTCTCACATATTATACTGGCTGCTCAGATCATATACATGTGTGTTCACCAGTTAAATTGTCCCGACGCACTAATAAGCTTCACGGCATAATGGCACTGTGGTGAGCCCAGATGGACTTTTAAGTACTTTTATCATTACAATAATATCGAATAACGAATTGGGTCATGCACTTCCGGTGAGACCTTTACAATCATGGATAGTGTACTAGTATACTTTAATTGGTGAACAGGGCTGCTGATATTGCTGAATACACATATATAATACGGATATTGTACCAGTTATATCCAAGTGCTGGTACCAGTACTAGCTGGAAGGGGAAGGAGGCAGAGGTGTCTCAACGCCGTATACACAGTTCGTTGGGGACGAAGATTCATTGGGAGGTCACAGGTAAAATAATAGATATTTTTGGGCTATTCTTTTTGTTCTAATTCATTCTTCAGCCGAACATATTTTTTATCTTACCGCGTCTAATCAAATAAAAAACGAAACGCATTTTCACATATGTCCCGTACCCATTTGCCCCAGTTTTCGGTCTTAGACCCCATCCCCATAGACCCCATCGGTCTACTTGGATCGGCCCAACTCTGCGGGAACTCTCGTTTAGTGCAATCAGCTTAACTGAATGACATATGCCTCCTCGAGTTTCCAACGTACTCGTATGATCGCCAGCTTCTCTGTATTTTACGTTAGGAGGCCTGTTATTCAGTTAAGCTAAGCTGATTGCAGTCAGCGAGAGTTCCAGCAGAGTCAGGTCGATTCACGTAGACCGATGGCTTCTATGGGAATTGGGCCTACAGACATGTTACTGAGGAAAGTTGGCCTGTAAATTTCCATGTAGCCAAAATTTTTATCGAATGTAAAGGATTGAAGTATGCAAATGAAGAAAACAATATTACAATAAAGTTATGAAAAAAGTAGTATATATGAAACTGATATGACTAATAATTAAAGAACAGCAAAACCTTTCAAATTTTATTTTGCAAGGTGTTGGCTAGGGTCAAGTGAAAGAAAAGGTAGAGTTAATGTTTAAAAGGGTATTCTCATTGTAATAACCGTGGAGTAGTATTTTGTAAGCTAAATGCAGTCAGTGAAAAGTCGTTGTGACACTACGGCGTGACGTGCCCTCCATTGAGCAGTTGTGAATATCTATTGTTTGCACCCATTTTGTAGCCGCCACAAGAATGTTGCGGTTTCCACATGCACTTTCGTCAATCTACTGAGATATGTTAATTGTTTACATCAATTTGAAGTCTCTCGTTGATGTACAGCTGGCATCGCCCCCTTCCTTATCCATGCGTGTTGTGGACACGTTATCCAACAGACGCGGGTATATATACTCCCCCGTACTACCACATATCTGTATCTGTATCTGTCCATATACGTCTAAAGAGACCAATACTGGTATGAAATAGACGGGTAGAAGAGAGCGCATGGAAAACTTAGTCAAATAGTAGTCCTGATCTAAAGCTTTCAACAGTTTCAGCGTTTCTTGTTGATCACTGAGTCCATTCCAATCGGAAACTGTTCTGATGAAGAAAGAGTTTTTCTGACGAGTGTTTTACAACGTTGTAAGCGAAAGCAGCGACTGTTATTAGTACTATTCAGGTACATAGTGCAAATGTACCCTCTACCATGGCGGCAGATATTTAGGCACATTTTTCTCCAACCACAGCTAGAAGATTGACTATATTTAGCCAGAGACAGTATCTGTGAATGTGGAAAAACTGTCAGTGGCCCCGGTAGAGTAGTGCATACAGATGATACGCGACTACGCTACACCACGAGTCAGCCAGTGCACTGAAATTTCGCTTCTCTACTTCATCATTTGCCTCTTTACAGACAGAGAGCGGTGAGTTGCATGTACCAAGGTGCTCTCAAGCTAATGGAGGGGAGGTGTCACATGGGCCATTCCACAATTGCAAAAAAAAAAAAAAAAAAAGGACGCACATGTTTGGTGTAATATTTGCACAGTTTTGACTTGCTCCATTTTTCGCTCGTTTATTCTAAAATGGAAAGGAATCAACGGTAATAAAAAGTGATTTCAAACACTTTTGAGAATATATTGCACATTTTGTGACTAAAATGTTCACTTTTTTGTCGAATGACCTATATACACGCACTATACGAAGCGCGATTGATAATTACAAACATTCCTTGCTGACTTACACCATGGGGCTGCGAGAACAAAGAAAAAACTTGCGAAATCGACATGTTGCAGGTTGTTTTAGCCCGTTTGTGGCTTACTGAATTACGCATGCAGACACGGGCTTCTACGGGTTACTTACTTAGACTGGGTTCTCAAAGATTTAGATCGATCCATCTGGATCGACCTAAGTCCCGGGGGGTTCACGCTAAATTGCAGTCAGCTGAGCGCGCGTGAAAGTTAATTACCTCCTAACAGCTTTTAGTAGGCGGGACAGACATTAAAGCCGGCTAGGCTGACAGCAATCTAGTGAGACTCCCCACGGAGATAGATCGATCTAAAAATCTGTGGGAATGCAGTCTTAGACCCCATTCCCATACCTATATCGGGTTCACGATTTGGGGACATATACCGTATCTCCCGACCTTCTAATTCAGACTGACTTTTCTGTCTTTCCTTTCGTTAGAACACGTGTCGATAAAATATGTGTCGTTTCCCCACTTTAAAACACTCAGTGTAATGCATCTGGTGACTTCATTCACATACATAAAGGAATATCTCACTCAGTACTGCATTTACAGTATGTACATCCTTTTATATTAGTAGTAATTCCTTTACTTAAAACATGCCAAGAAAGCTGAAAGACGTCGATGATGGCTTTTAAAATGGGATATACAGTAGACAGACGTTACGTAATACATTTTCAATATACAGGGGTACATGTAAAGTAGGTTAACAGCTCAAGCAATTGAAGTTACGCATAGTAATGTAGCTCTGTAGTATAATTTGTCACTTCAGTGATTAAGGAAGCGTTGTTATATATCTGTATCCACGGGCCTTTTATCATGGCGGGATATTCAAGAGTTAAATTTAAACTTTTTTGTTTTATTGTGCTTCATGTAGAAGTCTGTATTTAAACCTGTTACAAAATGGAAGAAGAGACTTTCGAGTAATTTTGTGACAGACTAGAAGCGAACCCTGTGGTCAGAGAGTTGCCCATAAAACCCTGTAGGCCACAAACATATAAATACAGCCTCCACCATGTCAATTCTGCCCAAGATGCGATACTGTTGTATCAAGTTCAGCAGTCCTTGCTCTGTGTGCAATGTTATTTCTGTAGTTAATGTTATGAATGGCCACAAGGTGGCACGAGTTACCAGTTTGATCCATACACATTAAATTGTCGTTCTACGTGATGTAATAAATTATAATCATTTATATGCAAATAGGTGATTAGAATTATATTGACGTCCACCATCAATGCAATTATTTCGCGAAACAGATTAAACTACATGTAGTATATATTTAACAAGTCAAAAACAAAACTGTCATTAATTCGCTGTCATGTTCAGAACTACGAATATATACCGGTAGCTGCAGCGCATGCATAGAAAACCCAACAGAAATGACTAAAAAGATGCAGTTAAATTCAATAAGGTCGCTAGATAATATATTAATGTTACTTATTAGAGAGGTAATTAATGTTACTTATTAAAAATGCAATGCATACGGGCACATATATGTATAAGAGAGAAAAGTAGAAAAGACGACTAAAGTAAAATTATACAGAAGCATTAAGCTGAGTTAACAGGCCAGGTCATTATGAGCTCGATTGCATTAAAACAAATTTGGTTTACTTTCAGCTCTTACAATGGCAGCTGCGCTCACGAGCATAATTCGAGTTTTCTTGGTGGGTGACGTGATGATTGGGCGAGGTATAGACCAAATCCTGCCTTACCATTGTAAACCGTGGATGTACAGGGATTTCAGGAACGATTCCAGAGAGTACGCCCAACTTGCCATAGACAAGAACGGTCCCCTGCCAAAAGAGATCGGGATGGATTACGTATGGGGAGATGCGCTACAGATCCTGCAAGAGAAACAACCAGACTTTCGCTTAATAAACTTAGAAACAGCCATCACCACCAGCGAAACCGCATGGCTGGGAAAACGCGTTCAGTACCGCACACACCCTCGGCACGTGGAAACTTTGCAAGCAGCCGGAGTGGACTGTTGTGTTCTGAGTAACAACCACGTGCTAGATTGGGGCTACCCCGGTCTGGCTGAGACTCTTACAACTCTGAAAAAGGCCAACATGAAGTATGTTGGTGCAGGAGAAAATATATTTGAAGCTCAGAAGCCGGCGATCTTTGAAATTCCGAATAAGGGACGCATCGTAGTCTTTGGGGCGTGTCATACTTCAGGTCTCGTAAATGAAGAATGGAACGCTACAGAGACAAAATCGGGAGTGAACCTTCTTAGTTTTGAGGATATCCCATATGTGGTGAAACAACTTGCAGATCAAGTAAAGAAAGTCGAGAAACCGGGAGACATCGTGATTCTTTCCATCCACTGGGGACCTAACTACAAATGGTTAAGTTCTCCTATGGAGAGGGAATTTGCACATGCCGCCATAGACGTTGCCGGCGTGGACGTAATTCACGGCCATTCCTCGCACCATGTAAAAGGCATAGAGGTTTACAATGGCAAACTCATCATGTACGGTTGTGGAGATATTGTCAGTGACTACGAAGGGACCCCTACCCCATTACACAAGCGCCCATTTCACAACGTGCGCAGCCTTATGTATTTCGCCGATATTGATCCACTTACGGGAGAAGTTGTTGACTTCAAAATGATTCCCACAATGATGAAAAATCTACGTGTGAACAGAGCCGATGAAGAAGCTTCAAGCTGGCTTTATGCAAAGATGTCAGAGTTGTGTGAGGAACTCGGTGGAGGAGTGCAGTGGGACGGTAGCGAACTGAGACTAGTGTTACAGTCTGGTGGAACGACGCACTTCTTCACACAAGGGATAGGCTGGACAGGATCTGCAAAGTGTACAATTATATTGATACTGCTAATCTTCGTTCTCACCATAATTGCGTGCAAGTCATGTATATTTAGAAAAGTAGTTAATCTCCATAAATGTCGCTAAAATGTTTTCCTATTTATTGTCATCGTATTATGCACTTTGCAGGCCGTTTTGTACATGTACTTGTAGGCTACAAATGTCAGTTATCTCTCCAAAATACTGCCCTGCATGTAGGCCCTACAATCGGGCTGTTTTTGATAAGCACGAAGATATATAACTAAGCTAGAATGCCGTCAATCGATGAATGATTTATAACATTCACCAAATTATTGATAGATCCTGACTAGTATGTATTATTCTTCTTTACGCTGGTTGTGGGTTTTGTGCTATATGTAACCGGTAAACTATAAGTATTTAAATATTTCACAATCTTTACAAGCGAAATTTCCCTGTCTCCATCATCACACAATTATTTCAAAAATTAGAAACGTAGAACTTAACGAAAGAATTTTTGCCAGAGGTTTTGGATATGGTAGTCTATAATTTGGTAATTATGAGAAAAGCACTGAAATTTCCAATTTTCCAATAATTTTGTAATATATTTGTCAAAAAATAATTAGATAGATGAATAAATGAGAGCATACGAAATAAAAATAATTCATTCTCCTATAATAAACGTACGCTTCCAGGCATGGCGGAAATAATGATGGTAGGCCTATAGGTGCAGGTTCTTTCAAGGGCCTGCAAAATTCTGAATATTGTGTGCCTAGATTCTGCACACTGATTAATTGCAGGCCTTGATTTTCCACAGGCACACATATATAATTAGTCCATAGAGATGAAAGAACGCTTTTCTTCCCCAAAAACACTACCATTACAAATTTTTTATTTCCCTGCATCATTACTTCCCCATACCTTCCCTACCCCGCAACGTAAAAATGCGACTCACAACCATAACTGTCACTTTTAAAACCGCGCTGTAAATACAAAATTATTTGGGCCTCAAAAGTGACATCAAGAAAATGGGCATTCGCAAACCGATGACGGACGTAACGATGGGGGTAATATCATATAATTCTGTTTGAGGAGCAACGACCGATGTAGCCTACAGTAGGCTACATAAAATTTTACCAGAGGGGGGATTTTCCTGGCAAAATTGGGGGTTCTTTCGAACCCTCCAGGCTACGGACCTGCATTATAAAGGGTTACCTAATTTAATGCAGAGGTCGGGGTGGTCATAAAAAAGTCCCCCACGACTACAAGTAAAGGCACATGCACACCTGTAGGGTCGACCCTCACAATTCGTTATCCCTGTAAATAACTGGTGATCTTAGAATTTGTTGAGTAGTCCTTTTTATCAAACTTTTATCAGTCTTTGGCAATGTGTCTATCGTATTAATTAACCTATGTATTATTCATGTCGACCAGCATCTTGAGTGCATAGTTTTTCGTGTACGATCAATTTTACACTGCTCACGCGATACCATCTTCAGATTTGATATGGCGGGTCTCTCGATCAGCAATCCGCAGCCGGACCCTCAATCGCGAGTAAGTAAGTAAGTGATTCAGTTGAAAAATATGAATAAATAATAAATCGGTATTTATTGCACTATGGTAGGTCAAATAACAGATGAGTATAGAGTTCGTGTGGTAGCTGAGATTCAAGGATAAACGATGTCAAAAGATGTCGTTATTTTTCGCTTCAACCCACCTTCCGCCTTGACCTAGTTTCGAAACGAGGTTTTCAGGGAAATAGACAAAACACTTCCACTTTCGCTTTGTAGTTCAGTAGCCAAAACTCCTCTTAGAGTTTCGATTTCGAGTTCTATGTACAGAATATATGCATCCCGCATATTGATACGTAAGAAACCTAGAAGGTAAAAGGATTGAATTGGACGACTGAAGATTTATCAAGTAAGTGATGGTAAATCTACCTGTTCCAGACTTTTTTTAAGCTATGGAGATTTTTTTAATTAAAAATTAAATAACAACCCTGTTACAAATAGCATTAGGATGTGCAGCCACCTTGATAAAACTATTGTTATAGCAGTTTAATGTTAGAACTCCCCTTCAGGAGCATGGAAGAGAGTACCAGTAGTTCCAGTGAAGATGAAGACCAGAGAACCCAAGTACCGGTACATGTACCGGTAGCAGCAGAACTAAAAGTTAATTGAGACAGGTGTGGTTTTTTTTTATTTTCAAGCAGTGTTACCCCTTCATTGAAAATTAGCGACATCTGAAGTCATTTCAGGGGTGGAAATTGGTTGCAATCTGTTTTGTGAAATAGGTTGAAAGATTCTGGTAAAAATATTGAAAAATTAAGAAGTTAATTGCGAAAATAAATCATCAGTTCATGTTCTTTAATGGTAGAGACACTGATTAGTCATCATATAATTAAGTACTAGTACAGTGCCTGTCCTAGGCTTTTTATTGAGTAATCTACTGTTAACAAATTTATTAGAATATAAACTTAATTTGCCAAAAGAAATATTACAATGCATTTACCTCAGTCATTTTAAAGGAACAAGATACAGGTTAATTAAGACATTTTGGTGAGGAATAAATGCTGTTTCTGTTTTTATTCTTGGAACTTGGTCAGTTATTAATTCTTAACCCTGTTAAGTGTCTTGTTTCATTTTTGATTGTAAGTATCAGATAAATGATTGGTTTACATTTTATCCCATATACAATACAGTAATTTAATGAAACAAAGTACAAAGTACTTCCTTTTAATAAAGGTACATATCAGTGTATTTGTGTTCCTGTACTAAAAATACACTGTGACTGTGTCAGAAACGGGGTAACACCAGATTTGAGCTGTAACAATTCTGTCAAGACTTGAAGTGCCCATGTAAAAAGTTAATTGTTATAATACTAGTATGTATTTAGTATGCAATATATCATTTTAAAAACATTCTTATTTAATTAAATAAATAAATATATATATATGAAATGTTTCAGGTGCTTTAGAGGCCTTAGCTTATCATTAATGAGAAATCAGTTATCTCTAAATAGTATTTTGGAAGGTTATCAGTTTCTGTAGAATCATATGTGTACTCAGTGACTCAGCACAGTTCAATTGAATGTACATTTTTTTCAGCCACACCAGTAATATCTGCCAATTCCCAACTTCTACAGATAGAGACTAGGTATGGCTATGTAGTGCAGCAACTTGATCAGTTGACTCGGATGTACTGCGCAGAGTGGGGACAATTACAGCAAAATTTACAAAACCCAGTTCTTACTTTGGCTCAGAAACGGTTAACTGAGAAAGAAATTCAAAGGGTAGAAAGCCATTATCGTCCACAGCTAGAACAATTGCAGGCGGAGGTGGCTTGGTTGCAGTCTCAGTATCAGGTTGTGCTGATACAACAGTTGCAGCAACAAGGGGGGTTGATTGTGGCAGATTCAAGCAAGGACCAACAACTTGGAAAACCCTCTGGCACAGAAGATAATTTACTAGCAGAAATGTCAGCTGAGCAGAAAACTGAAGGAGTAATGAAACAGAAAGGAGAAGACGTTAAACGAGGCCAGACAACAGGGGGTGCAACATTGCCACCAAGGGACTTGCTGAGGAAGACAGAAAGTGATTCATCTCGAACAGGGAGTCCAAGCCCTGAACCCCTGGGAGCTGCAGCCAAGGGAACGGAGAAAAAAGGAAAAAGGGGGGCTAAAGGAAAGAAAATGGAAAAGACAAATTTGATTTCTCCTCCGGCTCAGCTACCTTCTCCATATGAAATAAAGAGATTGGATTCTGAGGAATTTCCAACACTTGGAGCCCAAGCTAAGCTCAGCAAGAAACAACAGAAAGAGCTGCTTGAGGAAGAGGAGAAGAAGAAAAGTCGCCATCTGTCAGGCGAAAGACAGTCATTAAATGTCTCTCCAACTTCTCCAGCAAAGATGAAGGTCAGTCGTGGACAGTCTCCAAGGCCAGCTGATTATCACAAGTATGTAGTGGGATCTCGTGCTGGTAAAAAGTTAACCGTTTCCAAAGATGATGTCAATCAAGTTGGTCTAGACTACATCATCTCAACATCGGAACAAGGGAAACTGGTGACAGCAGAAGACACAGAAAAATACATTCTTGAATGCTTTCAGGTTTCAAACATTTGTGAACTTGGATGTCAATATGCAACAGAAATTTCATGTGTTAAAAAACTGACTGAAAATCAGTCCAAAGTCAATGCTTATATTCATGCCTATTCATTGGTCAATGCAATAGGAACTGCGCACGATCTTGGAGAAAGGGTCCCAAAATTGTTTGAGAAGACCAGCTTTGAGGAGTTATACTTAGGACCCTTTGTGAAGCAGCCAAAACTAAAAGAATTATTTGGAATCCCTCCAACTTTGTCAAGTGTACCAGCCGTGACTACTGATGACATTTTGCATCATCTTATGGTGAGAATTTTGAATAATTTTACATTTTAAAATAGCATAATTACAACACTGATGATATATATTTAATCTGTAGACCTCTTTCTTAGATTTAGCTTCATATTTTGGAGTTTTGTTATTTAAAAAGTCAGTAGACATATTTTAACTTGTGAAATATTAAGAATTTTGGTTTAGTATATTGAAAGTTTTATTGTAAATTTACAAATGTACATGTATTCATCAGCTGCAGCTTCCTCTTAAAAACATAGGTAGAGAAACTGTGTTAGAACTTTTTCTTAGATGAAATATCTACTTAAATCAAGACTCTTCATCCAGATCATCATCATATACTTAGAAATTCTCTTAATGTCAGGCCATATCTTTAAAGATGCATACAAAGTCAATTTTTTGTCACAAAAACCAACCAAATGCCAGCATATAGTTTCAAGTACTATAACTAAGAGAATTACCAAAAGGCATTGTTTAATTTTACCCGAAAATGTTTGATCGGATTTTTCTGTTGGCATTCTAAGCTGTATGTCAATGGGGCAGGAAAGTAGGTCACGAAAGTAGGTTAAATTTACAACCAAAAATTTAAAGAAAGGACAGTTCAAAGGTCTTTTATGGCTGATCGAGTGATCTATTCAGTTTATCCCTTAGCATGTCGAATTTATTTGAGTCATATAAGAATCTAGTAGAAGTGGTTTACATGTATTACTGGGAATACATGTTCCACCGATGCTCGGTTCGTATGTACCTTTAAAGCTTATTATAACATTCTGATGATTTATCGATTTGATTTTATAGTATTTGCTTTGATTGTTACAGTATCAGACATTTACATGTCATGTTTTTTACAGTCCTATATGGACAAAAACAAACTGTGGACTGATAAAGTAGACTTGAGGAAGTTTCTCACCTATGTACAAGAACAATATGGATGTGAGACATTGGAACAGTTGGGCGTGAGGGTAAAGAGTGTTGGGCTTGCCATTTCTGTAAGTTATTTGTAACTGCCCCCCTCCTCCCTCCTAGAAAATATTTATTTTGCCCAATTAACTAACTTGCCATAATTCAGGTAATTAGGCCAATATAATCAGAAAGTTTTTAATTTTTAAAGTTGTAAATTCAGAAATCAAGTATAAACATTTAGCAAGATCTGTGTCATAAAGCTAGCTATACATTATAAGTTGTACATGTATATAGGGTATTTTATGCTTTTTGACATTAGGTGATAAAAAGTGCTCAAAAACACCAAAAGAATTGGAATACAGAGGCAAGAGGGAAGCTGAAAAATGAACTGATTGAACAAATGGACAAGAAGCTACACAAAATAAAAAATCAGTTGCAGGAGTCCATTCTGAAAGATGAAAGGTCGGTGCATGTACTGTACTTTGGTTTAAAACTTTGAACAATTGAAAAACAATCAACTGAGCATTACTTAAGTAATCATTGTCAAGTGAAATAAGTAATTAAACCTTTTTTATCCAGCAATACTACAAAGAAGAAGAGCCAGTTTGCAGACATGGCTGCAGCAGATGTGGTGCAGGAAGTTTTCAACCGATGTCAAACAATATTCAGTGCGAACTTTGTGGATCCAGATTATGTTGTGACGCCATTCTTGAGAATACTGTCAACAGATGAATTTGCAAGGTATTTTGAAGTGACATATTGTAAGAATTTGATGTTTAGACCATTTTAGACAAATAATTGAAAATTTCTTCAGACTTGCATGCTGTCGGATTTCAGCTACGTTATGATGCCTTTGCAATGGTTTACTGAAACGGAAGGTTCAATGTGATTTTAAAGTATTTTAATCAGTCGATTTTCCTGCTACCATTGGCAATATTATAGCACTGAAAATCCTCTCACTTTCAACCTCCAGTCTCAAAAAAAAAAAAAAAANGAGTTTTGTTATTTAAAAAGTCAGTAGACATATTTTAACTTGTGAAATATTAAGAATTTTGGTTTAGTATATTGAAAGTTTTATTGTAAATTTACAAATGTACATGTATTCATCAGCTGCAGCTACCTCTTAAAAACATAGGTAGAGAAACTGTGTTAGAACTTTTTCTTAGATGAAATATCTACTTAAATCAAGACTCTTCATCCAGATCATCATCATGTACTTAGAAATTCTCTTAATGTCGGGCCATATCTTTAAAGATGCATACAAAGTCAATTTTTTGTCACAAAAACCAACCAAATGCCAGCATATAGTTTCAAGTACTATAACTTAGAGAATTACCAAAATGCATTGTTTAATTTTACCCAAAAATGATGTTTGATCGGATTTTTCTGTTGGCATTCTAAGCTGTATGTCAATAGGGCAGGAAAGTAGGTCACGAAAGTAGGTTAAATTTACAACCAAAAATTTAAAGAAAGGACAGTTCAAAGGTCTTTTATGGCTGATCGAGTGATCTATTCAGTTTATCCCTTAGCATGTCGAATTTATTTGAGTCATATAAGAATCTAGTAGAAGTGGTTTACATGTATTACTGGGAATACATGTTCCACCGATGCTCGGTTCGTATGTACCTTTAAAGCTTATTATAACATTCTGATGATTTATCGCATTTGATTTTATAGTATTTGCTTTGATTGTTACAGTATCAGACATTTACATGTCATGTTTTTTACAGTCCTATATGGACAAAAACAAACTGTGGACTGATAAAGTAGACTTGAGGAAGTTTCTCACCTATGTACAAGAACAATATGGATGTGAGACATTGGAACAGTTGGGCGTGAGGGTGAAGAGTGTTGGGCTTGCCATTTCTGTAAGTTATTTGTAACTGCCCCCCTCCTCCCTCCTAGAAAATATTTATTTTGCCCAATTAACTAACTTGCCATAATTCAGGTAATTAGGCCAATATAATCAGAAAGTTTTTAATTTTTAAAGTTGTAAATTCAGAAATCAAGTATAAACATTTAGCAAGATCTGTGTCATAAAGCTAGCTATACATTATAAGTTGTATATAGGGTATTTTATGCTTTTTGACATTAGGTGATAAAAAGTGCTCAAAAACACCAAAAGAATTGGAATACAGAGGCAAGAGGGAAGCTGAAAAATGAACTGATTGAACAAATGGACAAGAAGCTACACAAAATAAAAAATCAGTTGCAGGAGTCCATTCTGAAAGATGAAAGGTCGGTGCATGTACTGTACTTTGGTTTAAAACTTTGAACAATTGAAAAACAATCAACTGAGCATTACTTAAGTAATCATTGTCAAGTGAAAATAAGTAATTAAACCTTTTTTATCCAGCAATACTACAAAGAAGAAGAGCCAGTTTGCAGACATGGCTGCAGCAGATGTGGTGCAGGAAGTTTTCAACCGATGTCAAACAATATTCAGTGCGAACTTTGTGGATCCAGATTATGTTGTGACGCCATTCTTGAGAATACTGTCAACAGATGAATTTGCAAGGTATTTTGAAGTGACATATTGTAAGAATTTGATGTTTAGACCATTTTAGACAAATAATTGAAAATTTCTTCAGACTTGCATGCTGTCGGATTTCAGCTACGTTATGATGCCTTTGCAATGGTTTACTGAAACGGAAGGTTCAATGTGATTTTAAAGTATTTTAATCAGTCGATTTTCCTGCTACCATTGGCAATATTATAGCACTGAAAATCCTCTCACTTTCAACCTCCAGTCTCAAAAAAAAAAAAAAAAAATGATAAGTAATTTTAAAGGATTATTTCGAGATTATCTTTGTAATAAATGCATTTCTGTTTTTAGTTTTTGTCTGTGAAATTCTGAACCATTAGAAAAAGACGCTTTGAAGTTTAAAACTTTATAAAATGTATTTTCTGTTTGTTTTTAAGAAAATTGTTCCAGTTATGTCTATGTACTGCTGGTGATCTGGAAATCCCCCATCTAGCAGACAACATTGACAGCCAAGCAGAAGGTCAGGCATCAGAAATGGAGGGAGAAATGCATGCTGGGCCAACTAGACCAACAGAAGGTGTTCTTTTGCTTAATAGAAACTTTAAAACTTTAGAATCATTGCATACCCCAATTGATATAAATTTGTCTTTTTGCTAAACTTGTTTTAATTTACAGGTTTTGGTTTGAGCACCTACAACATTTAAGGGTGCATTCCCGTAGATTTTAGATCAATCTATCCCCATGGGGCGTCTTACTAGATTACTGTCAGATAATCTGGCTTAAATGTCTGTCCCGCCTACTACAAGCTGTAAGGGGGTAATTAACTTCCATGCCCGCTTGGCTGACAGCTATTTAGCATGAACCCCCAGGGAGTTAGGGCGATCTAGTTGGATGGATCTAATCTCTGGGAATGGGGTCTAAGTTGTTTTTTTGTCACCTTTGATCTGTGTATGCTTACTGAAAGAATTTATAGTTGCAGCTAATATGGGGAATAACCCTGTGTATCACACTTTTAAAATACTTTCAGCTGTACTGTTCAAGCAGCTAAGCCAGACACTGTCCTCATATACCAGTGCTATGAATCTAAGGGCAATGGCCCACCTGGAAAAGAGACTGGCACAACACTTCGGTTTCCAGGATTTTCACAGCATGGGTCATGGTAGTTTCACAGAATTTCTGGGACATCACAGTAAGGTGGGTAAACTGTTGAGTACTTGTAAATCAAAATGAGTTTCAGTAATGTTTACTTACTGATCGATTGCAGCTTACTCAGTACAGATTTATTAATACTAGCATACATGTACATGTATTACTGTTGATTCAAATTTAGAGCTATACATTTTGAAAAAAAATTAGAAAAGCCTGAATTTCTCAGGTCCTGCATTAAAGCATCTATTGTACCATTTCCTCAATTCGTGGACATGAAACTCATACAAAGTTGTAAGAAACTTAAGGATAGATTTAATTGATGAGTTGAAATTTTTGATTTGGTTGTGAAAGGGGAATTGCATATCGGCTCATTTGAAAAAAAAAATTAGTGATATGACTAGCACAGTTACTGTTTTAATACAGAATGCAAAAAATTGTGCTAGTCAATAAACAAAGTTGTACATATCACAGGAGCTAGAAGAACTTGGCATGGGCAGTGTAGGAGGTGGGCCAGGAACTGGGCACTTTACAGCCACTAAGGATAGTGTCCTGCAGTTTATTAGGCAGTGTGGAAATGATCTGGTAAGCATGGATCCAAACATATCGGGAATGGCAAATTCACCCTGTGGTTATGTAATAAAGCCCGAACTTTTTTGTCTATGACAATCTTTTCAAGTTATAAAAGTACTGCCCTTGAATAAAGGTTGTCATGAACCCATTAATAACAAAAATCACTTGATAAGGGTTTTATTCATTCACTCACTAATTCACTTATCTGTTAGTTCATTCATTCATTCATTCATTCATTCATTCATTCAATAGTTCATTCATTCATTCATCACTCATTGATTCATTCTTTAATTCATTCATTTATTCATCCATTCTTTCATTCCTTCATTCCAGCCCAGTGATACCATTGGTGAGATGCTGTGTGGCCAGTTTAAAGTGAAGAAGCCCACTGACCTAGGCTGTGGCACTGTCCAGAAGCTGGTTGAAGGTGCCAGAGATGGTGCCACACCACACAGTGTGGTGTACTATGAGGCTGCTTCTGTGGTCAGCCAGGGGTAAGAACTTTTTTAAAAGTGAGACCCCTTTTTTTTTTTTTTTTTAACTTTTGGAAGTGTTTCCTCCCTTATATGTGAGAATAAGTATAGAGCCAGAGAATGGTTTTTATTTCTAGACCCTCTTTTTTCTTGCTTACTGTAAGTACGTTTTGAAGATATTTTGAATGTTACATTGGTTAGGTTTAATATATATATAAATTTGGATTAAAAAGTATAATTTATAATTGCCTTGGGCTGATGTGAAATATTTGATTTCCCGTGACCTTGTGGTCTGTTATTATTGATTCATTGAATTTAAACACAGAAATGGGTGCAGAGGGTGATAAACTTAGATTTTGTTTACACAGTGATAGTGCTACCTGTATTCGATTTTGACATATTGTACATTATGCCTTTCAATTTTTACAGGTAGTAATTAGTAATTAAATTATCCACTATTAAATAAATAAGTAAAATAGATTTGATTATACGTCATGTGTATTTCACTCCCACCTTTAAGTCAGCAAATATCTCTACTCGCTACTCTGTGACTTCATACAGGAACAGGGGGTTACAAACTTGGTTTTTGTTTACACGATGATAGTGATATCAGTAACACTCAGTATTTGACTTTGGACATTTTGTATATTTGGTGTTTCACATAAGGCTGTGATTGCTACAACATTTTCTTAATCCCCCACCTGTCACACCTGTAATAAATTACTCAGCAGGTAATAGCAAATAATAAAGTAAGCCACATCTGATAAAATTAGTTTAATTGAAGCATATGTTTTCTTAATGCATATCCAGGGGCAGTTACAGAGATATTTTCTGAGTGTCTTTCCAATTGTCTTTTTTGATTTTTGATCCATCCTCAATTTTTGACCACCTACCGCCATAAAAATTAGATGCCTGTCAATGTAAACTTGAAAAATTCTGACTGTCTTCCAGAAGATCCAGAAGATGGCCTTAATCTGCCCATGACATCATTCATCTGTGTTTCACTTCTACCTTTAAGATCACAAAAAAATCTTCACTACTCTGTGTTTTCATACAGGAATAGCGGCTCTCACCACAAGACCATCGAGGAGGCCTTGGAGTGTCTGACCAGTGCCCCTCTGCTGGCTGACCTGTCCACTTGGTCACACTGGGAGGTCATCTTCGAGCCACAATTTGGACCGCTGAAGACTTTCATTGAGAAGCATAGCAAAGACTGCGCTGGGAATATTGGTCAGTTAATATGATGATAAGTTTGTGTTTTTTTCCATAAGTTTAAGTGACAAAGATTGTGTTGGAAACATTGGTCATTAAAATGATAACTTTGTGTTAAACTTTGTTTTGCAAGTGCTGTGAAACTCAAGAATTAATAGGGGGAAAGAATACACAGTTTTATAATTAACTTACATGTCAGTAATTTTTTAATGTTAGAAATCTGTTAAATAAATGTCTGTTTCAGATGTAACTTCATATATAAATTCACACAATTATTGAAATTGGGTGACCAAAACACAAAGTCAGTCTATAAGTGTTTTGCTACATGATCATGAATTGCATGATCCATTGGTAGTTTGCCTATTTTCTCTTCAGTTAAAGACATCAGTGACTTGTACTGCGTTGAGATGGCACCAGGCATTCTGTTGCGTATTACCATGACAACCTCAGATAAGCAATTCAAACTGGCCCTTGAACAAGGAAACACAAGAGATGCAGCAGGGCATTTGGTTTCCATTTTCCTTAGAGATGGTGGGTTAAAAAATGCACCTCTAGCTCTTTTGGACAATCATGTGACAACAGTTCTGCACTCAATGGCAGGAAAGGGCAGCATTGGACAAATTCACTCTGGGTTACAAGAGGCAGAAACAGCAGAAGATGTGCAAGCTCGGCTTACTTTAGATTGCTTGACAAAATTGCCTAAGAGGATCTGTAAAGCTGTAGCCAGACAGGTATGTGACTCACTTGCACCAGTGGGAACGAAGTTTCACTCCTCCCTTAATTCACAAAAACATTATGCCATTTTGCCACTGAATTGATGATTGTCTCAACGATAAACTTGTCTCCCAAATGCCTTGCTTGGAAAAAACCTCACCTGAAAAAAAAACAACTCACAAGTTTGCACCCATCTGGGACAGTTTTTGTCTAAAGTACACTTAAAGTCAAATATATAAAATTAAACTAATATTTAATCTGATCACCAGATGAAACAAATGAGCTACATGTAGACCATGCAGTTTTCTGGCTGTTTTTGTCTAACCTCAACTCATTTTCTTTTCATTGAACTTGAATCTTTTACACTGTCAGGTATTTTTGGAACCCCTGGGTAAGACTGTAGGCAAGGTCAAAGCCTACCAATTGCTCCTCAAGGTGAGCCGATGTATAGAGGACAAGCTGTGCCTGGAAAGCTTGGGGCTGTCCCTGGGGATCTCTGAATGGACAGAGAGTCTGTGGGCCCAGATGAAAAGCAGTGCCGACCCAATGGACGATTCTTTCACACAGGTTTGAGTACTGTTTGACTTTAGGCCTTAACACACTGTCAGATTGGGCTTGTGTTTTCCTTTATTTTTCATTTGGTAGAAGTGAAGAAAGATATTTTAACCCAGTTGTTTTTTTATCCAGATTTGGTGTTTTGTTTTCACTAGGAATTCTCTGACGAGGAAAGTGAGGAAGAATTACCTAGTGATGTAAAACCCAAACAGGAACAAATGGAAGTGGGTGAGTTAATGTCCTGAAGCAGCAAAAATTATTAAAAATAACTTGTCTTAGAGAGTATTTTAATTGATGCTAGCTGGAAATACATATTATAAAATAAACAATAAGGTGCAAAATGTACTGTAGAAAATACCATTTTCCAAATCATCCCAGACTGATTACTAGTAGAATGTAGACCCGCTAGGTACGCCTTTTTAAAGAAATTTGATGACTATTATTATCAGATTGTAAAGCTAGAATTTATAACATTGTGCAGTAAGTAATGAATGCAAAAATTGATCACGTGAAAATTTTAGTTTCAGAAACTGCAGAGAGACTCCTGTCAGAAGCAGCAGTTGACAATCAGCAAGAGATTTTGATGGAAAATACTGAATGTGTTGACAGCAACAACACCCATGATGTAAGTGACGCCTCCAGTGTAGAACCAACACAAACCTTGGAGACAAAGGATGAGGCTTGTAGTGAAAAAGAAACAAAGTGTTTCAATGTCATTCAGGATATCCGTCTGGAGAAGTTTGGAATTGGTCTTGAATTGGACGAGAAGGGGCAGAAGCTGGCCCAAGGACTGAATGAATTGGTGGGACGCAGCCTGGACAAGCTGTCTCAAGAGCTGTATAACAAAGACACCCATTTTGTGCTGGAATTGATACAGGTAAGGTATATTTGTCTTGTACAGGAAAAGATTTTTTTTCAAAATTAAGGCTTCGTTCACATGGAATGTCTATTTTCTAAAAATCTATTTTCTATTCGTGGTATCTTATGATCACGGTCTGTGCCCTGAATATCCCGCCGCGTAATTACTGGCAGCGCGAGCCAGTTACTTATAGCAACTTATAGTAACTGGCTCGCACTGCCAGTAATTACGCCGCGGGATATNGTAATTACAACTTGTCTCTCCTCCAGAATACAGAATATCAGGCTGAGTGTTTAATAACAAACAGCAATGTATATGTAACAGCACTGCAAACATGAAATATTAATGGCAGTGATTTACCATGTAAAAAGTTATTATAACCATACTGGAAAACATACTTCTGTTGAATCATTGAGTCAGATTTGTAAAATAACTGTTTTATCAATACCGAATAGATAATATATAATATTGTATTATACAACACTTATACCAAAAAAGAAAAAAAAAACAAGAAAAATAGGTATACCAAAATAAATAAATAAATAAAAATAGATGATAACTGTTACAATAACTTACAATACAACAACAATACCTAGAATAATATAAGAATACAGATAACAGAGACCCACAATTTGATCCAAATCTCCCTTCCAGAATGCAGATGACAATGACTACCCCACTGCCCAGTGGTCAGAGGCAGGGTCCAGTGAGTGTCCAGAGCTGGTCTTTGTGGTGGAGGAGGACTGCATCACCCTGTACAACAATGAGAAGGGGTTTTCTGAGAGGAATATTAGAGCCATTTGTGATGTTGGGCAGTCCACAAAAGGAAAGCATAAGCAAGGATATATTGGTAAATAAGAGATACTTTTTTTTTTGGGAGGGGGGGGTATCTCTTTAGTATTATAACTAAAAACTAAAGACAGATTGTGTAATAATCAGTACAAATCACATTGTGTTAACAATTTATATCATCTAATTTATTTTTAGATGTAAAAACGTACAAGAATTTCTTTATAAAATAATACACTATAATTTCTGTATACTGTATAATTAATTATTATTGTTGGGGGAGGAGAATAATAATATTATTAAAACCAAAGTAAAACTGTGTAAAATATCAATCATCATAAATCAATATGGTGTTAACAATTTACATCATTCATCTCATTTTTTAGATGTCAAAAAGTACAAGAATTTTCTTCATATTATATTACACAAAAAATGGTTCAATATTCAAGGTCAAAAAGGCATAGGCTTCAAGTCAGTGTTTATAGTTACCAACACCCCAGAAATTGTCTCCAACGGATACTGTATCCGCTTTGATGCCAACAGTGGACCAACTGGATATATCCTGCCTCACTGGGTGTCAGAGGAAGACAGAGAGAGACCTCACGAGTCATTTTATGTGACCTTGACAGGGGGAAAGAAGTCGAAAAAGAAGTCTAAGGTTTTAGTTGACCTTAGTGATGAAAGGTGATGTTTATGATATTTGATTAGATTGATAATGAACAACAAAAAGTCTGTGTTTTTATTATATTCTTGGATCCCACGCCAAAAGTAAGCAAACAAACAAGCAATGCTGGGAGCTATTTTATATCTATGTATGTGTGAATGTATGTTCCTGCAAAACTGTGTGCCTGTCAATCTGTGATAATGCATTGGTGCATGAAATTAATATAATGCTTTTTCATTATTCATGTTTTTAATTTTTCTCAGGAGTTGTGATATCATTGGCAGTTTTAACCCTTTGGGATATGCTGTGATTTGCTAGTTGATAATGTAAAACTATGTTAAAGTCATAATAACTCTTCGTTTTGGCCAAAAATTGGATTTTCCTGGAAAAAACGGCAATTTTTCCGTACTTACCAATGGCCAACGACCCCGTTCCTGCATTCAAAGTTAATCCAGGGTTTTTTTCCTAACCGTTCGGTTTTTTGTTAAAATCTCTTAAGAGATTTTAACTGACGGAGCTCTCTCTGACACTGCAAATTCACTGGTGACCTACTTAAAACCGCGGCCGGGAAAAGCAGACAACAACAACACTATATAAGATTCATGAGATATATTCGTCTTTTTGTTAAAAAATGCATTTATATCCACAATGTGTGCCATTCTGGGCTTTTCGTTATCCGACGCACTGTACAAAAACTCGCAACTTACGTCTGAGGGTTTCACGCCATGTTATTTTGGTCTCGAATGAACGCGAGAATCCGCTTGACACCATTACGTCATTAGCAACGAATGCACTTGTCGACCGGAAAAAAAGGGATCGAAAGCCCTATTGACAAGCACAGATTTTAGTTTTCCTACAATAACGGCTGTTTTAGTGGTAAAATACAATAGAATATATTTCCATGCGTTGTTTACAATGCATTTCATGCGGATTTTTGAATCTCAAAGGAAGAGTTATTATTGCTTTAAAAATAATTTTTTTTACATGTTTTTAAAAACCGATAGGGGAAAGGTGCTATTCAATTTCAAAGAGTTTACACTACTTGGAATTACATTCAATTTGATGAATAAAAAAATAACCAATTTTTTTTCATACAGGTGGACCACCAAGATAACGCTGCCACTGAAAACGCAGACAGAGCAAGAGAAATTGAAGAATCGCTCCTTGACATCCAGCTTTCACGATGTCCACCCCTCCCTGCTCTTGTTTCTGAACAGGCTAAAGAGGCTGATAGTAATAAACAAGGTAAAGATTATTATTATTATTATTATTATTATTATTATTATTTTTATACCAGCTGATGACATATAGCTTTGAATAACAGGACAGGGAAATATATGGCATGAGGACAGATGCTGAATTCACACATTTTACACCAACTTGAACATGATTATGTCCATGTCAAGTTTTTCCTACATGTAGAATATCTGCTGAAGGTAATGCAATTCAATTTTACCTGAAAGTTGGTTAAAATGCATGTGGACAAACTGGCCAAATGGGCAGCTTCATCACACAATGGCATATTATTATTATTTTTTTTAAATTGTGTTAATTTTTCATTTCGGTTGCAGTAAAGTAAATAATTTTAATGTTTCAACAGGTGAATAAGGAAACTGAGGTGATGCACAGACGTGATCTAGGCAATGGTGTGATAGAAATCCAAACCTCTAAGAAAACTGAGAGATGGTTGCTTCATAAGAAGATGCTGCCTGTCCCAGAAGAGGTGAATGCATGCATGCACACATGCATATGCACTCCCATACATATGCAAACAGTTGTATACGCACGCATTTGCACACATACTTACTCACATGCAAGCAAGGAAAAGCATGAGCTAACACAGTAACCAAAAGTATAAATATATAGTAACTAGTTTTGGATATTGAAATGATAAATACTGGTATGCATTTGGATATTTAATACTTACATTTCTATCAAAATAGGAAGATTGTCCATGATGGTCAGGAAATCAAACATTACTGTAACAGTAAAATTACAATAGATATTATTAAAATCTTGCAGTTTCCCCCTGACTTTACATCAAGTAAACTCAGTATGTGAATAAGTTGTTGTTAATAATTATGTACAAAATGTACTATATGATAATAAGATAATGTTGTATTTTATAATTTAGCTCAACCCAAGTGTGGAAAGCACAGAGCTTGCTTTAGCTTTCCCATTGCAGACAGATGGAAAAACATCTCAAGGCGAGGCAAGTGATATTCAGCAATAGGACATAGATAATTTGAATTAATTTGATATTGAGTAAATTTCCTAACTAGGTATTGAAAAGATTAAACCCACAATTATTTCCCATCCTTTCATTTTGAAGTAAATCTGGCATCAGTGTTAAAGGTAATTAAAGTTATTTAATTGAACATGTAGTGAAACTTAAATGTTTTTTTTTTAAATAACCTGTTATTAATCACTATATATATGTACATGCTTTCTTTAGCCTCCAAAACAAGATGTATTTGCTTTTCTACCCCTGAGATGCTTTGGATTCAAATTTGTAGTCCAGGGTAAGATCATGTTCGACTCTCTCTCTCTCTCTCTCTCTCTCTCTCTCTCTCTCTCTCTCTCACACACAGAAATGGTGAGGTTGAGTTTGGCGTCCACGATGTGAATTATATCCATTATATTTATATTTTTCCTTATTATTTTGAAACACCTGTTTTTATTTTATTCATATATTTTTCTCTTTTGGCAATTCCTTTAACATTTTTTGCTGCATCAAAGATTATATTCACTGGATTATTGAGCCACATAGATTTTTGTCACTCTACACTGTGATCTTTGTGTATTGTAGGTGATTTTGAAATCCCAGCTTCCAGACAGGACATTTTGCAGGACAGACAATGGAACCAGTGGTTGAGAAGTCATTTGCCAGAACTTTTTGTGGACTCACTGGACTGTTTCCAAGTTAGTGTCAATGTAGAGATCAAAAGCTGTCACAAACAAAGACCCTATCCCATACCTACATCGATCTACCAAGAGCGACCCATCTCCGAATGGATTCTTTCTAAATTACTTTCAGCTGAAGTAGCTTAGATGTCTGGCACGTCTACTGAAGCTGCTATAACGATAGTAAATTACCCCATAACAGCTTCAGTAGGCATGCCAGACATCAGAGCTGCTTAAGCTGAGTGCAATTTAGCAAGAAACCCCACGGAGATGGGCCCATCCTGTTAGATCAATCTAGGTGTGAGAATGGGGTCTTAGTAGAAAATTATCACTCTTGAAATATGTTGATGCGCCATCGGACGTGTTCATTAGTGTCAGGTTGGCACAGGCGGCATTGTGTCACTTGTCAAGAGTACTCTGAGCTGTCCCCAAACTCCAAACATTTAAACATTTAGTGTTTTAACATTAAAATGTACTGGTATATGTGTGCATGAGTGGAAATGTATGTATAATTATGTCTTTCATACATTTGGGTGTATGAGTTTTATTTAATTGTTTTCCCATATTTATTTCTACATCTAAGTATGTTCTTATTTTTTGTGTTTGTGCATGTGTGTTGCTTGAACCTTTAATATAGTTGCTACATGTATCTGTTTTTAGAAACACCCCGAGTTTGACAAGATCAGTGCAGTTGTGGCCTTCCTGAAGCATGTCCCTGTAGAGGGGGAGCTGTATGACTTCTTCCAGCCAGTGGCCAAACAAATTCTGCAGCACTTACAGAAAATGCCCTGCCTCCCTGTGAGAAAAGAGGAAGGTAGGTGTGTGTGGATGCATGTGTGTGTGTGTGTGTGTGTGTGTGTGTGTGTGTGTGTGTGGGGGGGGGGGTGCTCTTGTGCACGCATTCTAACCGAGGACACACACCCGCCCGAAACCCACTAACCGAGGACACACCTCCAACCGAGGACGTCCTCGGTTGACATAAGCAGTGGAATGCATAAAGGGGCCCATTTCAAGTTAGGTGGTGAAATTTGACGCTATTCTGAGCCAGTCCTCGGTTATGCTGTATAGNTGTGTGTGTGTGTGTGGGTGCACTTGTGTGTGTGTGTGGGGGTGCACTTGTGTGTGTGTGTGGGGGGTGCACTTGTGTGTGTCTGTGGGTGCATGTGTGTGTGTGGGTGCACTTGTGTGTGTGTGTGGGTGTGTGTGGGTGCACTTGCTTTAGATTTCACAAAAATACTTCTAATTGTGTTTTCAAATGTAGGTTCAGAGTGGAAAACACCGACAGAGATTGTGATGTGTAAACACAAGGGCACAGTAGAGATTGTGACACCAGAACACCTGCTGAAATATCTGGGCAGATATTACCTGGATCAAGCCGTGCAGAAGTCAGTATCCTCTGTACTGTTGAATTGAGGTGAAGGAGGTGGTGGAGGTCCTGAGGGGTGTCCTAAAGGATCAGCTTAATTCTGGGAGAGGTAACTGATTCTCTGCTTTTGAGCCTGCCGTGTGTGTGTGTGTGTGTGTGTGTGTGTGTGTGTGTGTGTGTGTGTGTGTGCATAATATTTAGACAAATTTCTTAGCCTGGTGTTTTGGCTTCAAGGCGACAAATTAACTCCAACATATGCTAGTGACAACGGTATAGAAAGCTGGATATTTTATGGGATTTTTTAGAACTTTATTGTACCACCAGCGTTAGCGCTGGCGGTACACATGGTTTTAGTCCTGTCCGGATCGTTCTGCCGGCATGTTACCGTTACCGCTTCTCCTCCTAGACGGTAAGGGCCTCCATATCCATCTCTTGGATTTAGGTCACCTATAATCTCAACTCAGTCCACGTAAAATTTGGGCTTTGTCGGTATTGGGGTCTAGGTATGGCACTCATTGCAATGCACCCTTGTCCAAAAATGGCAAAATTAAATGCTAATTATTTACCCTACGGAAGAAATTATGGGAAAAATTTCTACAAACGGCTTTCCAAAAGTCATATGTGTAGATTTTAAATATACCCTTGGATTTGACCTTTGACCTTTATTTCAAGGTCAAATGGGCCAAAATTTTCTAAAAAACAAATTTTTTTACAAAAAAAAAATATTTGCGCTGTTATTTAGACACCACACAGACTTAACCAATAATATTATTGGAAAGTGTTACCCTTCAGGTCGTCTTTCATCTATGTGAATTTAGGGTCAATTGGTGCATTTTCACCGGAGTAGCAGCCATAAGATACCGAAACTGAAAACTGTCTCTAATTCGGGAACCGTTAATGCTAGAGAATGCATGTAAAGCCCAACACTAGTGGTGGTCTCCGTTTTTTTGTATTCCATACGGTTTTTGAGTTATGCTGTATCAAAAAGTACATATTGGTGGTGAAAGCAAAATGTGCAGTACGGTAATGGATAATAAATTTTGAACCCTGGAAAAATAAAACATAAGGCTTGGCGAGGCAGACAACTTGTGGTCAAAAATGACATTATTTTATCAAATTTAAACATCTGGAACTTCAGAGCACCTCCCATTTCAAGAATTTTGACCAAAATGACCTTTTCTTTATTTTAATTAATTTTTTCTGTAGGAAATTTATGGCACATTATTGTAACTCCAAAATTTAAACATTTAGTCCCTTATATCTCCAAAACTGGCAGAGATAGGTCCATAGTTACTATTGAAGTTAGTAGGAAGTCATATACTGGCAATCTAAATGTGACCTTGAAATTGACCTTTGACCTACTTTTCATCATGAATTGAACTTTGCAAATTTTGGTTCCCTTTTATCTCCAAAACTGGCAGAGATAGGCCCATGGTTACTATTGAACTTGAATAGGTAGTCATATACTGGCAATCTAAATGTGATCTTGAAATTGACTTTTGACCTACTTTTCATCATGAATTGAACTTTGCAAATTTTCATTCCCTTTTATCTCCAAAACTGGCAGAGATAGGTCCACAGTTACTATTGAACTTGAATAGGAAGTCATATACTGGAAATTTACTGTGACCTTGAAATTGACCTTTGACCTACCTTACTATGAACTGAAACTTGATTGTACCATTTTTAGTTATATATATTTTTTTGCATATTTTGAGAATTCTTGTTGATTGCATTTTTTACACCTTGTCAAGCACAAGACTGGTGGTGGTGTCCCTTTTATGTGTGTGGGGGGTCTATACGATCGTGCTTACTCCAGCTGGTGGTACAATATTCGGAGGCGGTATCGCCTCTCTGATCCTCTAGTTTTTATATACCATAGTTTTGCATTTAACATGTTGCATTGAACATAAGTATTAAAAAATTTATTAAGAAGTTATTCTGAAATAAAACGTACAAAAATGCTCAGAATAAAAAAATGTAATAGTTACATTAAATATAGACAAATACAACTGTTTTTGTTTGTTTGATATGTGTTTAGTGAAAGAAAGACAAGACCTGAAGTGTAACAGTTGCTTTCTGTTTTTCATTTAAGAATTGACTATTCTGGATTCTGCTCTCTGGCTTGCCTGCCTCTCCCACCATCTTGAAAAAACGCCAGCAGATGACCATGACACCATGGAGACCATCCTCTCCCTACCCATAATTCCATTGGTGAATGGATCAGTTGTTGCTCTCTCAGAGAATACTGTGTTTTTCTCAGCTGCCAAAAGGTCTCCGACAGGGAAGAGTGCCAGTATGTGTATAATTATATGAATCAGATGTTTAGGCTATTTCAGTGGATATTTTATTTATTTATTTATTTATTTATTTATTTATTTACTGTGTTTTTGAATGTTTGTTCCATCCGCGAAGTTATAGATAATTCTTTTTAAGTCTTTAAAAAAGATAAAATGTAATTCTCAGACCAGCTTAAGTTTAGACATTGTGACAGTTTGGACTGAAGTTGTTTGTTTTTACTTTTTTTCTTAATTTTTTGGTATGAAAAAATTAATGTAGTAATGTTTGTCTTGATTACAACATGTAAGGGGACTAATATTATCCTCGTTCATTTACAAATCTTATTAAAACATGTTTGAAAAATAAACTAACTTTATTATTATGACATAATTATTTTTTAAAAACTGATCCCTTTCCAGGTGCCTCCATGCAAGCAGCATTGACAGTTCTAGAGCAGGACATCCCTACTGTCCATCCAGATGTCCTGAGGTCACTGGACGGTGTCCAGAACGCTTCAGTTAAGAGGATGCTAGAAAACATGGGTGTCAAACACATCAGTTCAGAGGATGTTATCAAAAAACATGTCCTTCCATGCTTTGCCTCTGGGAAATGGAAAGTGAGTGAAATAATGAAGTTGATTTAGCATTGTTGTTGTTGTTTGATTTTTGTTTTGGCCTAAACCTTATCTTTAAGTTTATTTATTCACAGTGTGAAGGAGGATTATTTAAGTTGTTTTGATGAACTTTTTCTTAATTTCATTTCATTAAAAGTAAAGTGTATTAGTGAATGGCCATTTATTCCTCTATTTACTTTATTTATGTCTGGTTACCAGCCATTCATCCATTCATCCACATACTGAGTAGAAAAATTGAAATGTTTTTACTCTGTTTCTGAAAGAAATAAGCAAATATTATTCTTTTGTATCACTACAATATCTATAGGAGAAGTCAACTGATTTGCTGTTGGCCTATGTTCAACTGATCAAAGAACAGTGGACCAGTGACAAGCAGTCTTTGAACATGCTGGAAGTGAGGAGGGTCATTCAAGTTCAACTGACCAACGGTCATTTTGTCAACCCACAAGACACAACAGTACAGCTTTCCAGGGAATATCTCAGCATGTTTGATCTTCCCAGCATGTTTCCAGGTAAGAGCATCTTGAATCGGAAAGAACAGTAGGTTGATCGAGACTGCACGCACATGTGCATGCACGCACATGCAAACATTAGTATGTACAAGCTTAAACTCTCTTACATTATGTGACATAAAAGGATAAAAGTCATAGGAAAATGAGGCAGCCCAAGGCAACCCCACAAATGAAATTTGTGCAAAATTGTTGGTAAATAATAACTTTTGCTGACTCGTCGCATCATAATTTTTAGGATGATGAGTCTTATTGAATATTTGATATATAATTTTTATCCCTAAGGCCATAACATTTAATACAGGCAACAATTTGCTACATTGTTATTATTGTTAAAACGATCAGGATAGAGGGGTTATATAATAAAAGCGGCCTTGTTTGGCCAAATCACAAACAATCAATACTCCTTGTTGCCTTCTTTCTTGCTATGAATGAGACCATAAAAAGTTTGTGGTACACTGAGATGGAGGAGACATAAAATATGTTCTTGCAAATTTGCTGCTAATTTGCTGGAAATTTGCCGAAACACGAAGACTTTTCTTGCAAACCTGCTGCAAACTTAAGTTGTTATGGCAGGTTTGTTGCAAATTAGCAGCAATAAATTTTTTTCTCGCAAAACCCTGCAAATTAAAAGTTTGCAACAAATTTGCAGCAATTTTGCCACAATATAGCAGCTGCAAAATTTTCATTTTGTAAGGGTGGTACATGTATGGGCAATCATTTGATGTAGGAATAGTCAATATGTTCTGAACCAGATAGACAAAGTCTGCTGTAACCCTTCAGCTGCTACAGGTCAGTTCCCTTTTTAAATGTTGTTTTTTATAATAAGTTTTGTAAATTGTGTTTTGTTCAAAGAATTTTTCTCCTTACAGACTCTGTCTGGAACATCGTCAGTAGTGCCTACCTAGACCTTTCTGCCTTGTCATCCAAACAGACCACTTCGAACAGGCAACAATGGAAGATGTTTCTTTTGGCGCTAGGAGTCAAGGAATTCCTGGCTGTGGACAAAATAGAAGTGGTCCTTAAACACAGCGAATTGGTAAATGTGAATATTGAATATTAAATAAAAAATTAAACTTCTAGTTCTCAGCAAATACATGTAGTTATGTTGATCTCAAAGGCATATATTGTTCATAAGACCTTCAAAAAGATTAATTAAAAAGTCTTAGATTAATATATGTGGAATTTTCACTTTGTCAGCAAGGTATACTCATCCAAAAATGTTGAGAAAAATACTATCTGTGCACCTGTTTTAGAGTTTTAAATTTATGCTTATCACAGTTACAAGTAAAATTCACCAGTCTATGTCTCCCATCCATCTTCACATGAGAGTGGCTTGTACTTGGGAATAATTTTATTTTCAAATTAATATTATGATTCAAAAACCAGTCTACAAATAGTTATTTTGGCAATGGTTTGAGATATGATATGTCTTGGTGATAAGGGGAAAAGTATTTTTCAATATTTGAAGGTAAACAAGAAAATTTAAACCTATGTATGCAGACTTTACGAAAGGCCAAAAAATCTGTCAGACATTCGGTCTGACAAGCTTGAAAATTCTGTCAGACCAAAACAAAATCTGTCAGACCGAAGTAAAATAATAGGAATACGAACCATTATTCAT